AGTCACTACATCAACTGGGGACCATTTTGCTTTAATTTACACACAATGCTAAAACATGAAAAGATCAAGCTTTAGAACTCCTTTCCTAGCTTAAAAAAGTGTTCTTTATCATAAAACGCACAGCGAAGAAAGCATAAAAGACTAAAATTTTGGCACTTCAGCATTAATTTTATTACTTTTTTTCTTAAAAAAATTAGATGCTTGTCTAGTTAGAAAGTCAGAAGTCAGTGGCCAGGACCAACAGATGGTGAAATGGTTACATCACTGGACTCCCACGTGGCTGATTATGGTCCAAGTACTGGACTCGGTGGCTTAAAACACACATCGGCCACATGTGTCTGCATACCCCAAATCTTGAGAGCAGAATGGAGGAAAGGGGATTGTGGCATGGCCACGCCCCCCGCGAGGGTGATTTCTCACTTTCTGTCTCTCTGTCTCTTTCTATCTCTCTTTCTAGTGCACACACACTACAACAAAAACCTCTTTTTTTTTTTTTTGGAGAGGTTTTCGCTACAGGGAATGTGCGCTCGCCAGACAGACAGAGAGAGACAGAGAGACAGAAAGTGAGAAATCACCACCCAGCGGGGATGGTCACACCGCAATCCCCTTTCTCCTCCATTCTCCTCCTGGGATCTTGGGCACGCACGCACATGCGCCCGGCGTGAGTTTTAAGCCACCAGGGTCTGGGACGCAAACCGTGGTCGACTACGTAGGAGTCCAGCAACATAGCCATTACGCTAACTGCTGGTTCCCAACAAAAGCCTCTTAAAACAAAAACAAAAACAAACTCAGTGGCCAAAGTCTCCCCAGATTGAACTTGATTGAGACATTTTGATGCCTGGGTTTCTTACCCAAGAAGTAAAAATTCTACTCATTTATAAATGTCATTTGAAAGTCAATAAATTAAAGCTATCTTATTATTATAGTGACTACAAGGTATTTTACTAATCAAATAAACTATCAGAAGAATATCATGTAAAGAAAATATTAATAGATCTACCCGCATAAGAATCCCATAATGTTTGGTCTAAGAGAATGGCAGGTATTTATTTCTCTCTCTCTCCCCCCCCCCGTGTTTTTTGTTTGTTTGTTTGTTTGTTTGTTTGCTTTGGGGGGGGTCATATTTGAAAATGTAAAGTAGTGGGTAAAGCAGGAATTTTAAGTCAAAGAGAATTACTTAAAGATAAATTGAGATATTTGGAACCAGCAGATGGCATAAAGGTTATGTCGCTGGACTCCCACATAGTCGACTGCAGTTCGAGCTCCAGACCCAAAGGCTTGAGACTCATGCCAGACCCATGTGCATGCATGCTCAAATTCCTGAAAGGAGAATGGAGGAGAAGGGATTGTGGCATGGCCATCCCCCATGGGGGGTGATTTCTTGCTTTCTGTCTCCCTCTCTCTCTCCAGTGAGAGCAGACGCCCTATCGCAAATAAAAAAAATCTCTTAAAAATTTTTTGAAAAGAAATTTGATTAGTTAACTGTCATTAATATAATCAGAATAATGTTTGAGAAATGGATTCTTCTATTCTTAGTTCAAATAGTCTCTTTGTGTGGTTTGAAGAAAATGAGGTCAAACTACTAGCATTCTTCCCAGAGAACATGTACCTAATTAATGCTTTAAGTCACTTGAGGCTACCTTCTCCTTTCTGTATGTTCTCCTTGGTCTTGGCCACTGTTGGGTCCTACCTGTTTGGTCAGGGAAAATTTGGTACACAGAAGAGATCTGTAGAGGTGTGGAAAAGAATGAGAATCTGGTCCCTGGGAAATATGAAGTGCTATTAAAATACTAAGAAATAATGATTACATATACCTATGTTTTACAAAATCTTATAAAATAAACTATTGCAGTGTCTACTGCTAGTATTGTTATTAAAATGTCATAGGTAAAATGCCCTAATATAATAATTTTTTAAAAAACTTTTTGCTATAGGGTACGTGCACTTGCTAGAGAGAGCGAAAGCGAGAAACCATCCTTCAGGGGGATGGGCAGGCCACAATCCCTTCTCCAGCCTCCTCTTGGGATTTTGGGCATGCACGTATACACATCTGGTGTCATTCTCAAGCCACCAGGTCTGGGACTCAAACCACACAGCCAGCCATGTGGGATCTAGCACCTTAATCTCCACACCACCTGCTGGCCCCTACTGTAATAATCTTTAACAGTTACCCATTGCCCCTTGTTTCATGAATGTTGATAGTCTATAGTATGCACGTTTATTTTATTCCTGTCTCTTGATTCGAATGTGAAGTCTGAAACACTTAATGAAATTCTCGATTGGCACTGATAATCTCAGAAAAATATATCTACTGAAACAATTTAAACAGATTTTAATTTCTGAAGATATCAGTTCACTTCCTTAAACTAGCTAAGCATGACCTGCTTTGCAACTACAAAGCCAATTCTTTAAAAGTAAATTTTAAACCCTAGGCAAGGAGTAGGTAGGTAGATCAAGGATATGCTAAGTTAAATGCTTGTGGTCTGGATCTGCACTAGAATCTCTGGTCTCGTAATTGAAATGAAACATATGTTCCTTTGTCAATAAGGATGTTTTACATCTTGTCAAAAATCTTTCTCGGTCATCTATTTGTCAACCTCTCTAGCTATTTCCTTTCAGCCTGAACTAATTAGGTTCATAGGAAGCAAACTGACATTTTGGAAGATGTGATTCTGTTGCTTAATGTGTGGTGGTTTTGCCAGGGAGAACGATGCTCCTTCTCGCTCCAGATGTGGCATTATTTCTGCTGGGCTCTCCATTATGATCTCTGGACCATTCTGCCCCCAAAGTTAGCCCAAGAAATTCTAGCAGAAGTGCTGGAGAAATCTCTGGGTCTCTTGGCCTCCAGATATGCTCGGGCTCATCCCAGTCATAAGAGAACACCGCAGATAAGGTAACTAAAGTTCTAAAACACTATTGGTTTTCAAGAAGACTTTGTCATCAGTTGGTATAAAGCAGGAAGTAATTCTGAATCTCATGAGCTAGCTCCTTGTGTATGTAACATGTTTCTAACAATGAAAGGAAATTGTATTTCACTCCTCCTGAGGTATTTAAGTGGAAATGTGGAACTTGAATCAAAATAACTTTTCTCTTTTTTCTTCTAAAAATTGTAAATAGAGCCCACTTGTGTCTAAAAAAAATTATTCAAAATGTCTTGTGATCTAGGACACATATGCTCAAAGGTTAATAAGATAAAGAGAGGAAATTAAAGCCCTGAAATTAAGAAAAAAAGCAGCCATGCTGTGATGGAGCAATCAATTTGACTTTGAACTTCTAGGGAACCATGGGATTTTCTTTTTTCTTTTTTTTCCCCCTTTTTTAAAGCCTTTAAATTTAGTAGCATATCTTCATTAAGGAAATTACTTTATCTAATCACTTTTCTCCTTACATATTTTTAGTTTTTTATTCCTTTTTTTCCCTTTTCTTTTTGCTACATATTACTGAAAAACCAGTCCAACAAAATGTCCAACGAAATGTCACAGAAAATGAGGAGAAATGATCACTGGGTATTAAATCAAAGATCTAATTATTGTGCAATTCTGTGGGTTATCTAGGCAAAGAATACCGTGTGAATGAACTTACATGACAATAATGGTCTGCTTGGAGAGAATATTTGTTTTATAAATGTTCTGTCTAATGTGATTAAAGCCAGTCTTTTAAGTGTCTGTATATATATATATATATATGGGGGGTATATTTTAGGAGAAAGCTACATCAGAGGCTTTTTTAGGGGAGGGTGTTGCAGGGGGAATCATTTCCTGATCATGTTCTTGTAAAGCATGCTGCAATTTGAAGGGCGTTTAGGTCCCGCTACAGTGTTTCATAAATATGGTATTTTGCACAGGCTGTTTTGAATTACCGACCAAGCTTTTATAAAAAAAAAAAAAGTGAGCTCTGAAGAATAGATGGAAAATTCCTTTTGCGAGCAAAGAGTGCCTTTCTTCTTCTTCTTATGTAGCATAAATCACTTTTGACTACTAGGTGGCAAGTCATTATGAGATATTTGTGAAATCAGATTTATTGTTAGCTCATGAACTGGGTAGCAGATTTAATTAACTGTACTATAGAGACTTTTGCTTTTATTTTCTGGGTGTTTGCATAAAAACGCCATGCAAAGCTAGAATTATTGCTTCTAGTTTTTATAAGCAAAATATATAAATACTTTATTTGATTGAGTAATCCTAAACCACAATTATTATGAAAATCAGATTTCGTGTCTACATATACCTTGGGTTAGTAATTGTTTTAGCAATTAGAGGAAATGTTTGCAAACCACAGTTTGCAAACCACCTTACTGAAGGTGATTATTGATGCTTTTAGTATTTCAGTAGCGTCCCAAGTATCACATAACCAAAGACATATATATATGATTGATATATAACATGTATATCCTTAATATATATATACATGTATTATATATATATATATGATGCCAATACATCATTTAAAAAGTCCTCCAACTCAATTTTCTCATCACTTCAAATTTTCTAGCTTCCATTTATGCAATTCTAAATTTAAAAGAAAAAAATAGAGAAAAATAATTGAAATCTGTTCAATTTAGTCATATACCAAAATAATCTATACAACTCAAGAAAGATGAAAACAAAAAGTAAGTTTATGAAGAAGGAAGATAATATACCATATTTTCCACAATTTAATTCTGAAGCTGTAGGTTTCTCCATTTGTGCTTCGGTTGTCATTTCTCACTTGCTGGGAGACATGTAGCTCAAACTTTCAACTCCCTTTGGGCAGTTCTATGAGGATGAAGAGAGTTATTCTGCTACCAAACTTTTGCCTACTGTATGCATGTTGGTAATAGCAAATTTTCCTTTTCTTCTAGTTTCTCTTTTCCTCAGTGTTATTTCAAGAACAGTCTCTTGGTATTCCAAAATAGAATCTTCATAATCAAAATATGTATAAATGTATTTATTTTAGAGGCAGATTTTTACTATAGGGCACATGCACTCACTAGAGATACAGAGAGGGACAGAGAGAGGGAGAGAGAAAGTAAGGAATCACGTCCCTCCTCCCCCAGGGGAAATGGTCACTCCACAATCCCTTCTCCTCCATTCTCCTCTCAGGATTTTGGCCATGCACGTACTGGTGCCCAGCATGAGTTTCAAGCTGCTGGGACTCAAAATGCTGTCAGCCATGTGGGAGTCCAGTGCCTTAACCACTAGGCCACCTGCGGGCCCCATATATATGTTTAAAAAGCACGCCTGAAACACTGTAACAGAACTTTTATTTTTTTAAAAAAAGGAATTAATTTTATTTATGCATTTATTTATTTTAATTTGAGCAGAGAGAGAGAGGGGGAGAGGGAAAGTGAGAAAGCAAGTCACCAGGTCTGGTACTCAAATCTTGGTCAGTTAAGTAGGAGTGACCAATGCCTTAACCGCCATGGCACCCGCTGGTCCCCAGACCTTTTCATTTCTAAAGGTAGTGTTATGATGGGTCATCCAACAACTGGAAACTCAAAAGGTATCTGTGTCGCCTGCTATCTGCTTTTGATTTCTGAGGTTCTGATATCTAACCAAATGGTTTTATTTTTACGTGTGCTTAATTCAAGAGATATAGATGAAAGGGTGCATACCAAGCAGAATGATTGTTTCGTGTAACATGATTTTCTTCTTTTTCTTTCCAATAGACTTGATATCACAACAATTTTAATATGCACTGAGAACATGTTATGGTCAGTTTGTACATCTCTACAGAAACTTTTGAATCCTCACGAATATATAGATGATAAAATTTTTAAAATTCATACCCATTGTAATAATCTGTTCACAACATTAGTCATTTTGACTTCACCATTAACAGAATTACATAAGTAAGTATCAAATATGTTTTATTTTGATCTATTATGATATATAAAATAATCAACTGAATAGTTACTTTCATATCGCTTATTGAACTGTGTATAGCAATGAGGAGCAATTTTTTGAGGTGCATTTTGTGTTTACTATAGTGCGAGCCAGAGAGAGAGAAAGTATGCTTGAAGGGTCTCATTATGCCGTGATTTCTTTTCTCCAAGCCTCCAGCTCTGTAAAATCTTGGGCACCCATGCTTGTGCTGAGCGTGTTTTTAGACTAATGTGAAGATCCCAAACTGCAGTCGGTGGTTTGGCTCCCAGCCTGCAGTCCAGTATGCTGTGGACTGAAGTACAGTTTTTCACATTGTGAGTTGGGCCAACTTAGAAAACTAACACCAGCCAAAAAGAGTTTCTTAATTTTCAAAGCACAGTCCTCCAAAATATGTTACATCCCAGTTGGTCAATGCCATTCACTTGATAAGGTTTCAACAAATCTGAAACATTTCGAACTGCATTATCTGAGTTATTTAAATGATGAAATTACAATCATTGCTTGATACTCTGTGGAAAAGAAAATCATATCGAGTTGCCTTTTACTTTTTTAAAAATTTATTTTAATTTTAAAATTCATATGAAGTGATTTGTTCTAATAAAAATAAAAATTTTTAAAATATGCCCAAATCTTGAAGACACTTAATGGCTCTACACTTTCACTTAGCCATAAATTTGCATTTTTTTTATTGCCAGAGAGCATGTGTGTCCACCAGAGAGATGAAGTACCTCCCAATAGAGCATGGCCATGCCATTATCCTTTTCCTCTGTTTCTCCTTAGGGGATTTCTATCACACATACACATGTACCCGGCATGTTTTTCAGGTTGCAGAGGCTTGGATTTGAACCATGATTGGCTATGTGGGGTCTGACTTCTGGTGCATAGGACTTTATTATGGTACCATTGTACCAGCCCAGTATTGCAATTTTAACATTGGACATTATTATTTCAGTTAGTAATAACAAGTAGAAATAGAAATAATTACATTGAAAAAAAATGCTGAAACATTTTACTTAGCTAAACAAATAAGATGTATAGAAATCTAAAATTTTGAACTGCTTCTGATTTCTGGTTAATTTAATTCAAATTTTTAATGTTATAGAAAAAGTTAGACTAGATCTTATAATAAACATTATTATCATTTTGTTTAAATCATCCTTTAAAATCATCGCTCTTATCTAGAAACACTAATTAGTTATATATTTTTAGTTTTTAAGATAGTACAAATTTTATATAATATTTATTTTTTTAAGGCAATTTAGTGAAGTGTTTCATTCTACAATATTCTGGTAAGGTGATATGTAATTCTTGAGTCTCAATTTATATTTAGACTTTTGTGTTAGATATCCTAAGACTATTAACAGCTTTTATTTCAATTTCCTATAATTTTCACCTACTATTTGACTTTCACCAAACCCATTATTTGCAAATTGTTCCTTCTGGTAACCCAAGTTGAGAACTAATTTTAGGAATAGAGAAATTTTTTCAGAAAAGAAAAGAGACAGTGAGATAAATTGCCATAAGGTTGAGATTATGTACATAATGGTTCATAATCATGAAAAGCTCAAGTCTGAAGCCTCTAATAAATCCTAGTAAACTAAACTGATTTACCATAGATGAAAAAAATTACTATGCTCTCAGTTCAATGGGTCATTTCATCTAAGAGTAAGGGCCTGTGAAAATCAGGAACAAAGTTGACAAATTTCATGGATTGGTCATGGTAAGCAATATTGAATTTCACGGTTTGTCACAGATGAATTGAAAAATTTTAACTCCCCATTGCATTTATAAAACAAATAAATTATTATCAAAGATTGTATATTTAAATAATAACAATGTAACATGAATTCATTATTGTTAACCTGTGGCCTTTTGATACATTTTTAAACAACTGTGCAAGTACTCAAATCTCTGTGATTTGTGCATTAGGTACTGCACTGTAACCTCACTCAGCAAATTTAAATTGCTAATTTCAACAAGGATTACAGAACATTTTGCACCAAGTACTGCCTCTGGGTATTCTTAACAGAAAACATAGATAGCTATATTGCTCCGAAGCATGAACAAAAGTCTAGATATATTTCAATTCTTTTTAATATTTCCCAGTTTTAAAAAGTTTCAAAATTTTCTTTTATTCATGTTGATTGAAATTTATGATTGTATTCTAAGAGTATAAATCTAATCATTAAATTGCTTTGTATTGACAAAGGGCAGCATTTTTCCACCAGTAAGGGAGAAATTTAAATGTCGTAAGAACTCTATTGACTTACTGAACTTCTTTTCACATATAGGATATGAAGTTGTAGTATCTTTAACTTTTTTTTAAATGGTGTTTCTATCTCACATAAACAAACAAACAAAAATGTGTAGTGCTAGCTAGTGATATGGTGATTAAAGCAGCTGGATCCCACATGGCCAACTGCATGATTTGAGTCCTGGATCCAACGACTTGAAAAACACACAGAATGCATGCATGTATGCATGTGTGCCCAGAATCCCAAGAGGAGAATGGAGAAGAAGAAATTGTGGCATGGCCATTCCCCAGGGGATCACCTTCTCATTTCCCTTCTGTCTGTCTCTCTCCACCAAAAGTGCATGCCCTATAGCAAATTTAAAAAATTTTTAAAAATGGTCTGATTCACCTACAGAGTCATGAGAAATAACAAATGAAGCTAATAAGAAACATAATCACACCATATACTTTGAGAAATTGGTGAAAGGTTACAATAAGACATGTATAGTATTCATTTTTATAAACTGGGTAAAAAGTAACAATCAGATGTTGATAGTATCGAATTTTCATGAAGTGTACCTGGCCTTTGCCACTCTATGTGATGTGCCTTTGTGGAAGCGACTGCCTTTATTTAGAGCAGTTCTGACAGATGAGCTGCATGTGTTCCTCTCTGAGCTTAGCATAGGACCGCTAAATCCCAGGGCAGGAATACACGGTCTTACAATCTTTTCAGAAGAATAAAAACTGTTTGCAAAATGTGTGTTCTGTTTTAACTCACCTTTGTAGATGTCTTTTAGGATGTTGTAAAAGGAGTACTTTAGATTTGCCCTCCAGGGAAAGAAACCTGCTGAAACATAAAATATTCACCATGTATTTTCTAAAATGCCTATCACTGGTATTTTTTGGGTAAAGGCAATTTAAGAACACATTCGGAAGCATACTCACATGCATGCTTATGCTCACAAAGTGGTTTCATAATGTCATATTTTGCTTTAGACTATTGGTTTTAGTTTGTATATAGCAAATTGAAAATTAATTCCTAAAATTGTAGCTAAATGCATTGTTTTCAATCCCGCAAACGTGGTTATAGCCCCTGTGATTACACTCAAAAGATATGCAAGTGATCATGATGTAATATTCACAAGTAATTTAAGAAAGTCTGAAAAATTCTTATTTTAAAATGAAATAAATAATAGATATTAGCAAATAAATGGAATTCTCTATATATACATTTATGTGTGTATGTATATATATTTGCACATATATACACACATATATAGTGTATGTATATATTTCCACAATGCTTGATGTGTCATATCAAAACTCCTATAAGTTGATTGTTCCTAACATTTAGTAACATGGAAGGCAGGGGGTTCAGTACAAGAGCCAACATACCAGGCCAAGGCTAAAGTAGTCAGAAATAGTCAAGAATGTTGATCAGTACGCCAGAGTATATAAGGCTTACATCATGGGCCACTTGGTGTCACTCATAAAACCTTTGACTTGCCAAATCTGAGGGTATTCCAATGTGGTATCATAGTTCTATTTCAAATTTATATTAGGTCTTTGAGGTTATGGTCTTAGCCAGTTTGTTATTGCAGGTTTTTTGCTTGTTTGCTTATTTGTTTAAACTCTTTCACTGTCTCTTAGACAACAGATTATGTTGAACTAAAAGTTTGATTTTCATGTCTTAAATAATGCTGGTACTTTTGGAAAAGCAGGCATTTCCCTCAAATGTTAAGCATGTAGAATGCTCAAGTAAAACACTGAAGTATGGTCATAGGCCTTGACTGTGAACTGTAGGTCCACAGGAAGACTTGAACAAGAATGTTCACAGGAGCCTTTAAAAAAAAGAATTATTTTTATTTAACTTTATTTATGTATTTTTTAAATTTGACCAGAGAGGGACAGAGAGAGAGAGAGAGAGAAAGAGAGAAAGCGAGCTGCCAGGTTTGGGACTTGAAACACCGTCAACCATGTGGGATTCCAGCACCTTAATCAATATGCTATGCTCCCTGCTGGCCCCCACAGGAACCTTTTTTATAATATAAATTGGAAGCATTCTAAATGCCCATCAATGAGTGACTGGTTAGACAAAACTTGCATATCCATGCAGTGGAATATTCAGCAATAAGAGTGAAGAGCAAGCTCCATGACTAGTGGCAATACACTGTTCAAGAGAAGCTGGATCCCACTTGGTGACCATGATTCAAATCCCTCAGGCCATTAGTCTGAGACCCTCTGGGAATATGTGCAAATACATAAGATCTGATAGGCTGGAGGCCTGGAAGGAGGGGCCGTGGTGTGACCAGACTCTGTAGCAGGTGCACACCTCTCTCCCTGTCACTCTCTAGTGCGTGCACATGCACTCTAGCATGAGCAAAAGGAAAAGAAGAATTAGTGAAGCACTGACACATGTTTTATCAGAGACAAACCTCAAAAATGTTGTGCTAAATGAAAAAGCCAGACACAAGAGACCATCATTTGACTCTAGTTATTCAGAATGTCCAGAATGGAAGATCAGCAGTTGCCAGGTTCTAAAGGGATGGGAGAAAAGGGAGTGACTGTTAATGGGTGTGGAGTTACTTTCCTTCCTTCCTTCCTTCCTTCCTTCCTTCCTTCCTTCCTTCCTTCCTTCCTTCCTTCCTTCTT